CAACCGCAAGACCCAGATGCAAATCCACCACCACCGCCGGACCTCAACCCAAAGTCTCTCTCCATCTTCATCCTTATCTTCTTCCTGAACCATCCACTACAGTCGACCCTCTATCTTCATTTTGCTCATCATCACCACCAGTGCTCCAACGGGGTTGAGATCGTCCAGCTCGACGACTCCAACGGGGAGATCCGCCAGAAGCCAGACCTCCTAGCCACCTCCAGCGACTTCCTCCGCGTCTGGCGCATCTCCTCATCCGACGAAGACGATGAGGACCACAACCACAACCACAGTACCAGACGACCATCGACGAGCTCTGAGCTATGGCTTCCTCCTGGGCGTCGAAGGCGGCTCGTCAAGCCGCAATCGTTTCTCGGCTCTCCTCTCCGACTTCATCAGCTCACGCCGCGACTCTTGTCCAGCGCCGCGGCCTTGCTGGCACTTGCCACATCTCTGCCGACACTCCATCGCTACCGTCTTCTTTGATCTGCCGCCGTCGCCAGCCTTCCCTACCGCCGCATCTCTCCTATCACCGCTATTTTCTACTCTCTCTCATCTCCTCTTCTCTTTCGAACCAGAGCACCGACTTCAATGGTGGTTTAGCTAGCTTTGTTGGTTTTCAAGAATAACCACACACACACACACCCCACTTCTTCTCTCTCTCTCTCTGCGCACCTACAACGGTCCAGACCTTTTCTTCTTTTTTTTATTTTTATTTATTTTTTATTTTTTATTCATCACCCACCTAGGCGTGTCACTTAGCTAGCTTTGTTGGTTTTCAAGAATAACCACACACACACACCCCACTTCTTCTCTCTCTCTCTCTGCGCACCTACAACGGTCCAGACCTTTTCTTCTTTTTTTTTGATTCTCTCTCACTTTCCACCCTCTCTCTCCCAATTAGTTTGCTCTTATATACTAATGATATGCTTATCGCAGAATCTAGCATTGAGGAGACAAAAAGATTGAAGAAACTTTTGTCCAACCAATTTGAGATGAAGGATTTTAGGGTTACAAAAAAAAAAAAAAAAAAAAAAACAAAAAAAAAAAAAACAAAACAAAAAAAAAAAAATAACCTTGTGCCCGAATGCTCTTCCACTCTCTTTCTGCCCGCATGCTCTCTCTCTCTAGGCTTTTTCACTCTGCCGATTTGAACTTTGAACAACCTTGTGTCACTCTTAAAAAAAAAAAAAAAAAAAAAAAAAAAAAAAAAAAAAAAAAAATTAAAAAAAAAAAAAAAAAAAAAAAAAACAACAACAACAACAACAAACAACACTGCACACCAAACTCCTTTATTCATGCCGGAATCACCCCGATCACAATTTTACACCACAAAAAAAAATTAAAAAAAAAAAAAAAAAAAAAAAAAAAAAAAAAAAAAAAAAAAAACCAAAAAAAAAAAAAAAACAAAAAAAAAAACAAAAAAAAACACAACAAGATTTGTTTTCTTTTCTGCAGACGGCCACCCACCGCCCTCACTTCTTCGCCTATTCCGCCGGTCTCTTCTTCTTGCCTCCGTCCTGGGCGGCCCTTGACAGTGTTGCCTCCGTGTTTCCCACTCCACTGGGCACGATCACTCCACCATACTCCTCCCCTGCAGCATAAGGCGGCCCTCCAAATCGGAACATAACGGTGGCCTTCCGCTTCAGCTCCTTGTTTTCTGCCCTTAGCACGCTTATCTCTGCTCGCGCATCCTTATACATGCGTTGGAGCAGAGCCAGCTGGGAGTTTAATTGCTGCACCTCATTTGTTCTACTCTGCAGCCGGTGCGACAAGTTTGTGACCGCCGTCATGGACTCCACACATGCCTTCAACGTATACTGATTGGCTTCCACATCCGACTGCACCGCCATTTTTTGCTCCACAGACCGCATCGGAAAGTTCAGCGGAGCAAACCCAGCAGTGTTTGGTTGAGGTTCACTGGCCACCGCACCAGTTCTCTCTCCTGTGGACTCGTTGAGGTCGGGAAAGAGGGTAAGCAGCCCGCGGGAAGACGAAGCCATTTTTTCTGGGCAACAGAGTGTTATAGAGAGTGTTACAGAGTATCTTCTCAGCAAAACCTTCTCAGCAAAACGAAGAGTTTTTCAGAGGATTTTCGCCAATTGTTTGTCTTCGCCTCTGCCTCAGCACTGTCTTGGTTAAATAGCCGAGGCAGCCACGCGCATCGCGCGCCTCTTCTCGCCGACAAACTGGCACGCCTTTTCATGGCACGCCTTTTGATGCATACGGGCACGCCTTTTGATGGCACGCCTTTTGACAGATTGAGCACACCTTTTGAGGGCACGACTTTTGAGGGCTCGATCTCTACATCCATGTATCTTTTTTTTTGGGCAGCCTATATACACACTCATACAGTGTCTTCTACACCAGTCAACTTTATCAATCCCTTTGTTTCAACCTCAAATAGGTTTCTATCTTCACACCTATTTGAGTTTGAGGGGGGGTTATACACAGTAAAAAAAATGAAAATAAAAGAAGAAGTCACTATCACATCATTTTAATTGAAATTAATAATAATGTGACATGTGTTTGCTTCGAAAATGCTATTTTCCAAATTTTTTGGTCAAATTTACTCAAAACTTTGATGTGGCAGTAGCGTATTTTTATAAATAAAATGAATCTTGATAAGTTTCAAGTTTTAAATTAATAGACTCACAACCCAACATATATATTTTGTGTTTACTAGTTTTGATTATGTTATCATAAAATAGAAAACCAATCAAATTGACTTATACTTTTATAAACGTTATTGTCACATCATCTTAATAAATAAATAAATAAATAATAGGTATGAAATTCTCTTAACAAATGATTTTTGTTGTTTGAAAATCAACTTTCATCCCCCATATCAAGGAGAATTGGATGGGCAAGCAATGGTTGTGTTGCTTTTGGCAGCTCATGCCATGATTCAATGAAATGGAAAGCATATTATTCAAACAAATACAACAAATGAATTTTTTTTCTCACAAACAATAAGGTTGAAAAGCAATTGGGTCAATCATTTAGGGTATTTTGGTGTTTTGTGCGACTAATTTCTTTGTTTTTATTTATTTTTTGGTGTCTTTACTTAGACAGCATATATAAAATATATTTATACTAAAAGAAATATTTCAGTTGGTTTTAACTTGTTGTATAATGTTTTTTTATTTTAAAATTATCTTAAAAAAATAATTCTTTTATGGTTTAAATTAATTTGTTTTAATTAACTATAAAGAGCAACTACATAAACCAAGTTAACCATCATTTCCACAATCTTCAACCTTTAGTTTCAAAGCTTAAATATTTCAAAACTCCATGGTAGTTTTAAATTGCATACGTTATTCAATGTCATTGGTAACAATGTTCAACAGCATCCAAAATCACATATTTATGTTAATCAAACATATATAATGTGGGTTTTACACAAACATGTGATCTCAGAGTAATTTTAATATTCACAGTCAAAGTGACAATGTCAAAATTGTAATTTCACATGCTACACTTTAAAATTTCATTGGTTAGCAATATTGTTCTAAGAGCATATTTCTCCATCAAAGTAATCAAATTAGTTAAATTTTAACTAAAAGTCTATATTTTTATTTTAGCTAACCATCTTTTCAAATACATTTTTCAACAAATTCTCTATTTTTTACTCTATTCTATTTTTATTTTATTTGTTCCAATTCCAAATTTAATATTTAAAAGAGAATTAAAATAATGAATAATCACATTTGTTTAGGGTAATGATATATAAATAAAATATTGGATAAATTACATTCACATCGCTTAAAATTTGAAAAAAATATAATAAATTTCACAAGTTTGCATATTATATTAGATTCCTTTAAATTTTTAATTTACATAACACTTAACCCATTTTTCTCCATAATTTGTCAATTTTATGAATAAAAAAGTGATTGTTATCATCTTTTTTATATTAAAATGTATATTTTATTTTTATTTATTTTTGAGTCTTAGCACTACTTACATTTGTTCCAATCCCTTTAAATTTACAAATAAAGATATTGATTTAATTATCTCAAAATGTATGATTTGTTATATCCAAATTTAAGGAAAGTCAATGTAATTTATCTTAACAAAAAAAATATATATGTTGAATTTATACACAAAATGATGTGACACGTTATACTCTCTTCATCTCAATTTAAAATATAAATTATTTTAACTTATATTTTCAAAATTAACACAATTTTATCATTTTAATTTATTTAATACAAATTTTAATTTGTTTATAAATAATTTTTCTTAATTTATCAAATTATATTTTATCTCGTGTATTACAATTGCATTAGTTTAACGATTTTATCACTCATATTTATTATTAATATAGTAATAATTAATAAAATAATAAATATAATATAATATATTAAATATTTTATTACCTAAAATTATTTGTTGACTCCTCTTTCGTAACTACATGTAACTTGTGATTTGATATTCACCTAAAATAGCCAGCCATGAATTGAGTTTGATAGAGTGTATTTCTATAATTTTGTATTATATATAAAATAACAAAAAAAAAGACTCTAATGAGCTTGATAATGATACTCTAATGATACAAAAGTCATTTTGTTACATTCAGACCGTTGAATTAAAACCCTCTCAGTCGACTTGACACAAATGTCATTTTCGAACCTTGTGACATTTCCATTTTTTGACAAATCAAGTTATTACGGCAGCACAATAATTTTTCCATGGTCACACTTGGAGCAAACAAAAGAAGTCTGAACTGCATTGAGTTCATACTTGGGCTGTTTATGCACTTTACGATACAGGTAAAATCCATGATATTTGGTAATTAATTAGCACATGTTTCAAATGAGGAAGTCTAAAGCTACTGAAGAGAATGAGTTTGTGGAGTTGAGATAGAAAGAGTCATGGTGTATGATACTTTTATTAAAGCAGAATTTGAGTATGGTAAAATATGATTAACTTTTATTTCTGGAGATGTTGTTTCTCTTACCCAAACCCGTGCCATGAAAAACTAATGACATAAGAAATTTTCAACATATCACAAAATTTCTGTTATTGAAAATCCATACTTTTCTAAAGTCGAAATTCTAATATTTCTCTTTGGGGTAAATACTTTTATGCACAACTCTTCTAGTTGATCTATACCATACTCTATTCTCGTAAGATGATACACAATGGCTAACAGGCTGCCAAGTGTTACATCATAGACGCGTTTGGGAATATAAATAATTGTAACCATATACATATATAAAATAACAACAACGGAGTTCCATTAGGCTCTATTTGTAATCTCTCTATTTCTCGATAATTAAAGCCCAAAGATGTATGAATTGTCCCATACCTGACTCTAACCAAGTAGACAAACAACTCTGCATCTTTTTTTATACCTCGTCGTTAAGTCAAGCAGCCCTTTCAAAGAGTCATGGCTCTTGTTTAAAAAAAGTGGAGGGAAACATGTCTTGCAAAAGCCCATAGTCATCAGGATGTTGAAGCTGCTGATGATGAAGTGGAGTTAAATTGCTACTTTGGGGGTAAAAAGAGCTCATGCCACCATGGTTGTACATTGGAGCCATTTGAACTATAAATTCTTGAGGAAAGCCTGTCCCGGCTATTAATGGTGGTGTCATTGTTAGCATAGAAGGCGGCAACATTACGCCTGCAGCATTTCCTCTAAGCGTTGCCGGTATCTGATGGTTATGTTGGCCTTCGTAGGTTGTTATCACAGTCGATGGATCTTGAAATGACCTTTCTACACGCTTCTTTACTGTGCACTTCTGAGTAGTGCACCGATAGTAGCTCCTGTATCAATGGAAATCAAAGTGGTCCTCAATACAAAGCCTTTTTAGAGTAGAAAAGACAACTTTTTTATCTTCCATTTCATTATTAAGAATACACACAAGGAAAGAAAGAAAGAAAGAAATAGAATCACACAACAATGCTTTCTAGGTATGTACCCAGGAAGAAACAAAAAAAAAAAAATTCAGTAAAATGTTTAGAATTTGAATTTATGATGCAGGTTTAAAATTAGTGTAGTGTAGGTTACATCCAAAATGAATATGATCAACGTAGTTCAATTTCTGAACACTATGTAGCGGCGTTGTTTATGGGGGTACTCATATGCAGCATTTTTTTTGGTTGAATAGCAAGAAAAGTAGGAAAAGAAAATAACGAATCATGGAACTAGTTTCATTTCTTTTCTGTGTTTTGACAATCAATTAACCATGGGCACAAACGAAAACATGATCACCAACATATTTTTTGAATTAATCAAAAGACTATTTCTTGTTTGAGTATTTTTTTCTAAGTATGCAATATTATTGTTTCTGAGCATTTTGTTTTGTTTGAATGGTGAGAAAATGTAGGAAAATAAAAGAAAACAACAGAAAAATTCTTGGTACATACTAGTTTCATCTCTGTTCATGTGTTTTGGCAATCAATTAACAATGAGCAGAAACTGAAAAACATGATCATGATTTCAAAACCTAGCAATTTTTTTTATTAATCAAGGGACCATTTCTTGGACAATTACTTAATTATAAGTAGAAAAATGAGGAACACACCTTGGAAAAGGGCTATTCTTGACCGCCTTTTGCCCATATTTTCTCCATCTATATCCATCTTCCAGATGATCAACTTCACTCTTTGTCATGAAAGCGAACCGCGGTTCTCTCTTAATTTTTTCTACCTTCTTCTTCGATTTGTTCCTGTTAATCCATATATTAGGTCAGACTTTTCTACATAACCAAACAATATCAAAAGCTATATGTATTCCCATGAATTCACAAATAATAACACCAAAGTTTTAGTTCTTTTATTTACAAAAAAATCAAATCATGTAATTTTGTGATCGGTTTCTGTGTATTCGTAGACTTTTTCGAATAGTTTTAACCTACACTTTCTTAGAGCTCTCTCCTCCTCCATCTTCCACCTCTTTTTGTAGTCGGTCTTTCTTACTCTTGCTAGTGTCTTCGTCCCCACCGGCCTCAGTAGACGAGGAAGAGATCGAAGAGTTTGGTGTAACCGCAGTTTCACCAACACCAACCACCGTGTCTCCACCATCCATCACCAGCGGCTTTTGCTCCTCTTTGACTACAGAAAATAGTTGCGATGATGGAGGTGACAAGCCAAAGGCGGTTTCGATTGTGTTGTAGTCTGTAGATCCATGTAAAGACTCAGTAAAGCTCATGTGTGAAGAGCCTAAACCATGTAGATCATGAGATGGTGAATTATAGAGGGAAGAGTTAGTACTGGTAGAGAATGAGAAGGCAGTTGCACCGGTGGCGTAGCGATCATCATGGAATGGGTCATGGTAGTAGAAGCCTCCTGGTTCATCAGACATTGAAGAAGAAGAAGAAGAAGAGAGGAGAGGAGGAAGGAGAAGAAGAAGAAGAAGTAGAAGATAGGTTTGACTCTAAGGTCACTTTGTATAAGCTTTGACAGAGAGATTGAGTAAAGGTCTATTTGTCTTCTTTTATGGAGAGAGAGAGAGAATTAAACTACTGTATGACATGATGAAAATAATGAAACTGTAAAGATATGTGTACAGAATTTGAACATCAAAATATAATTATGAAAGTAATTATAAATAATTGATAAATTTTACCTACATTAATTATTAAAATTATAAATTATTTCATGAGTGTAATATTTTTTTTTTATTTTACCACTGTTGCATAATTTTTTCATAAATTTAACCGTTGTATGATGGGCTTACATCTTGTTGAATATACTGATTCCGCTTAAGTGTCATTAATATTCAGCAAGTATGTTACATAAGATCGTATGATAATATGTTAAAAAGATACTATTATTTTTATATAGATTTATAATTTACATTTTTTAGTTTAGATGAAAGCGGCTAATTAACTCACGTTATAAACAAGGTTTGACAGCTTTCATGCCATTGTGAGATTAAATAATTATGTTTTGAAACATGAATTGTAAACCAAAACCAAAATTTATATAAAAAAAATCAAAAAAAACACGATTAGAATAATGTAACAACAAAATGAATATACACAAATTTGTTACATCATTTTGGGTATGTTTGGTTTGTGTTTGAGAGATGTGTTTTAGAGATAAAAAGTACGAAAACATGTTTGGTTTGGTTTTTTTTAAAAGATGTTTTGGAAAATTATTTTGAGATAGAGTTTTGGAAAAAGTGATTGATTTGATATGTGTGAGAGAGAGATTTGTTTGGAAAACTTGTTTGGTTTACAAGTTTTGAGAAATTTTTTTGAAAAAATTTGTTTGGTTTGATTATTTTTGAAAACTTATTTGTAGAGAAAATTTTCCAAAATTTTTTCAGAAAATCAAACCAAACGAGCCCTTTATATTTTCTTTTTGTTTATGTATCATTACTAATGTATATTTTTTTATAAAAGAAATTGCTAAACAACCAAATTTTTTTTACATAATTTGTGTGGAAATTTTCTCTTTTTGAATACTTCAAAATAGATCATTTAGCTGTAATTACTTCAAAATAGATAACCAATATCTGTCATGATTTCAAAACTGTCATTGTCGAAATGAAAATTTATGAACGTATGTTAAATTTCAACAATAAAATTTGTATTTATAATGATGTGAATTTAAGTCATTTAAATTGATAAGTTGTTGAATATATAATTTAAAATTTCCTGCTTAAACAATTTTTTGTACTTTAAAAATTTATGTTATTTTGTGAAACTTTTTAATTTTTTGCTTTTTGAGCTCAAAAAGTTACTTTTTTTGGAAGTTAGCTTTTATTTTTGAATTGAGAAATTTTTTTGCCAAGCATTATCTCATTTTGAATAACTTCTTTATTGGCTTTTTAATTGACTCTTAACTTTCAACGTGCACTTTTTTGCAATTAATATTCAACTTTATACATTTTTGTAGGCTTTTAGCTTGTGTGTTTAATTTTATATTAGGGGTGAGTAAACATCCACTTGATTCGTTAAAATTAAATGATTCAAATTAATTATTTACAAAATAAATTGTTTTAATAATTTGAGCGGACAAATGTGGATGTATTTTCTCAATCCGTTGAAGTTCGAACGGATGACTGATGGGAGACCTATCCAACCCAATCCACCAACAATCCTAAGAAAATAAAATTATGATTTAATGCTGTGTGTTAATTAAGAAATATTTTATTTAGTAATTATATTTGCTATTTATGAAATATAAAAGTTGGGCTTTCTTTTTCTTACAAAAAATGAATAATCAAAAAATTTGAGTGTACAATAATAAAGAATTACTGGAATAGTTTGAAAAAAAGGTCCAAAATAATAAAGCCTAAACCGCCAAATCAACCCGCATCCACCCTCCAACTTGCATGGCCCGCTCAATTCGCATTTGCTAACTAAGCAGATTGATATGAATTGAACTTTTCTAATCCGTCTAAGTTTAGATGGATAACGAATGAGAGGGGACCTAGCCCAACTCAATCCACAAACAACCCTACTTTATATATTTAAAAAAACTAAACTAAAACTAGCAAAAAAAATCCAAAAAGAAATTATGGCTTAGTTTGGTTAAGTTTTCATTAAAAAAAATATTAAAAAATTGAAATTTTTGCAAAAACTATTTTGCTAATAAAAAAATCAAAAAATGAATATTTTCATAAAATTTTCTATATTTTGGGAACGAAAATAATTTTTAAAAATTTAAAAATAATTTTTTATGCCAATTTTTGTTTAACTATTTTGAAATTTTTTTAAAAAAATTTAGAAACATATTCTAAAAATTCAACTAAACAGAGCTTGAAATTTTACTCAGAAAAACTTATATAATAACATTCACAACTAAAATATTCACACATTATTCTTATAAATTAAATTTAAAATTTTTTGTTAGTACTTAAAACTCGTTATAGTTTGAAAGCTTGAGTTGAAAAGTGTGATTTAAAGCCTAATATTGAGCTCTAAAAGACGCTTTCGTTGATAAGTCAAACCCACGACCAAACAGCAAAGGGAAACCGTCAGGTTTCAAACTCGACCAAATAGGGGCTTACACGTGTCCCCAGCTGGCACCGGCATTTGACCGTAGCCCACACACGTGCTCGGCACGTGGGAGATGCCCTGTGGTTCTTTTTTTTTTTTTTTCTTTTGGGTTATTATGCCCTGTGGTTTATCATCTCAGTTTGGTTGTACACCGGGTCCACATTGTGGGGCCACGTCAGCATTTCTTTTCCCAAAAATTATTATTGAGTGAGACAAATTTTGGTATCATTCAAGGAAGTGATCATAAATCATGAATCATGATGATGGTCAAATAGTCAAGAGAGTATGGGGTTCAATTTTTATATTTGTTCACGTGCTTGAAATTAGAAATTTGATTCTTTGTATTGCTTATTTTTGAAAAAATTTCATAAAGGTAATAATAATTTGTACAAGTTGCAATACCTATGCATCTATAATTTATTTTTTTTACTTTTTTCTTTTCTATAAATGAAAAATGAGCTGTATTAAACCTAACCAAACAAGTTATTCATTTGAAATATTTTAATACAACTCGTGAATTTAATAATGGTTGAATTTAATTGAATACGACTTTAACAAATGAACTCAATCAATCTTTATTTTATTACTTTTTTTCAATAAATAAGTGGTGATGGTGAATGTAATAGTAATGGAATATGACGTAGGTGGTAGTGGTGGTTGTGGGGTGGCAAAAGTAGAGGCAGAGTGGTGATGATATTGGTGATGGTAGAGAAATGATACTGATAGAGGACGAGTTGGAGATGGAAGGCAGTGATAGCAATAGTGTGGTGGTAATGGTGGAGTAGTGAAGGAGGTAGTGGAGTAATGATGCCAGGGGTGGGGGTGGGGGTGGGGCTGTGGATTAGTAGTTTCACAAAGAACTGAAACAATTTGTTTTTTATTTTTTTATTTTTATTTTTGCTCATCCGAAAAGGATAGGAGTGGATAGCTATAAATTAAAAAAGTAGTAAAAAATTCAATTAATGAATAGAAGAGAAGTAAAATGACTTTGATCCGTGACAATTGTCTACTTAATTACTCATCAAATTTTACATGGATAGCCATTTTAACTAGCAAAAGCACAGTAAAAAGTGTACTTTCTATTTTAGCTAGTTACCATTCGTAATGAATCTTTCAAAAATTATTTTTATTTTAGTTAATTGATTTCAACAACTATTCTTTCTTTTTTACTTCTTCTTTTTTTTCCCTTTTTTTTTTTTTCCGGTCAATGTACACACTCTTCAAGAAGAAAGAGAAAAAAATAGGAAACAAAAAAAGTAAGATGAAAAAATAAATTAGTGTTTTATTTTTAGCTTTAAGCAAGGGAGTGACAAAATAGCTAAAAGAGATGGTCAAAATGACTAAGGAATCTATTTAGGTATCATGTTGGGGATGCCTTACATGTCATTTCATCTAGCAAATAAGTTTTCATTTCTTTTTTTATTTTTTAATTTTTTTACAAGCCTAAAAGCATGATTTTTAGTTGCTATTCAAATGACATACAGTTCACAGCAAACCCTCATTGAGTCAACAAAAAACAAAATGAGACATTTTCTCTAATAGGATAGTGAATTGAGCAATTCAAACTACTTTTCATAGTGCTTGGTAAGTTTTCTCACATCCCAAAGATTAGAAAACGGAGAGAGGACAAGATTTGCTTTCTTCGTCATGCTTGATTAAATGAATTAAATAACTTTAGTATGTATATATGTTGCTTTTCAATTTATTAAATATAACAAGAATAAAATACTTTAATATATGTATATACATATATTATTTTTTTACTTCTCTATCTCTCATTTTTAGTCTTCTTAACTTTCATTACTCATTAATTTTTGTCATTTACATACTATTACATCTCTCTTATCAGTATCATCTCCTTCTTTAAGACGACAAATTACTTGTCACTTTTCTGCACATGCTTGGCCCCTTTATCTTGACTTAATTTTTCTTGATCTATCTCCGTCCTGACAAGAAATAGTACAAGAACAAGACATTAGAAACTTAGCCTCATTCTATCTGATTGCCATTTCTAGTTAATTCAATCTACTTACTTTCCACAGTATCTATTTTCTCAAATTGTTACGATATATTTAGATATTGGTTTTTGAAGAAGAAAACAAAAAAGATAAGAAAAGAAGATAAAGTAAAAGATGTGTTTTATTTTTCTTTTTGGTGGAGTCATGAAAATAAGAACAAAATCATCCCATTAATTCTCTTCTAGGAAGCAGGTCTTTTTTTTTTTTTTTTTGTTTCGTTTAGTTACTCGTGTAAATAAATATGTTTAACTTATTTCATTCAAAGTTTTATTTCCCTATCAAAATTAGACATTCTTGTACCAATTAAACGAAATTCGGGGAGAAAAATGACAAGAGGTCACATAGGTATGAAGAGACAGCCACCAAATTATAGATATCTTACCTAACACATACATTTAGAACAATATAATTGCTTTTCTCAAGCTTTCAAAAATATGATTTCAGCAACAAGAGAATGGTTTA